GAGGCAGGAGGTCAAAGAAGGAATCAAGTGAAAACTGATTTCATCTGGCCTAAAGTTGTCTTCATTTTCTAACTACGAAAAATACAAAAGAGCCTATCTGCGTTTCAAACCATGCAGACTCAGAATCAAATTTCACATTACCCAGATGTACTCTAAGTTTAGCACCAAAGTGCTCTTCTGAGCCCCAAAGTTTCTATTTCTAAGGCTAAAACCTCCAGGGCTCCACCTTAACAGAGCAATGAGTCTACTCGGGTAGGTATAAAATAGTGAACACATTCTCTCACTTAAATACCAGTTAGGTGAATATGACAGTATTAAGCCATGGGAGAGAGTAAGTACTGGATGGTTAATAAGACCTTATTTTTATTTATTTGATTATTTATGTAGTGAGGCATGGTAGCACAGCACGGCAGCACTGTTCTCCGCCACTCATCGCTTTGCTCGAGCGGGCACCAGCAACGTCTCCATTGTAAGATCTGTCGCTACTGTTTTTGGCATATCGAATATGCCATGGTAAGCTTGCTAGGCTCTGCTGTGGGGGTGGGATACTCTTGGTAGCTTGCCGGGCTCTCCGAGAGAGATGGAGGAATCGAACCCAGGTCTGCCAAGTGCAAGGCAAATGCCCTACCCACTGTGCTATCGCTCTGCCCAGTGAGGCAAGGTAGTTTTATAAAAAGAAACTTGCTTAGAGGGTCAGAGTAACAGTACAGTGGTTAGGGCATTTGTCTTGCATGAGACTGACCCGGGTTTGATCCCCAGAATCTCATCTGGTCTCCCGAGGACCACCAGGAGCCATTCCTAAGTGAAAAATGTAATCCCTGAGCATTGCTGGGTGTGACTCCCAAGCCCCCCAAATAGATATGGTAGGAAACTTGCTTAGAGAGTTGTGAGAGGGGAGAAAAAGGGGAAATGTATTTAAGAAAAAACAGGGGCAATAAAGAATCAGAGAAAAGCAATCAAAATGTGGTCAAGGGGGAATGCAGGCTTGATGAGCAAGTTAAGACCAAAATATAAATTTTGCTTATTACTAGCGTACTGATTTGTTTTCCCAGGTGAGATTTTACAGAAGGATTGCCCATTATCTATCTGGTAGGCATATAAAGCAAGTATATACTTACTTAGCCCACCATGAGAGCAATACATACATTCTGCATGGGGAGAAAAGGAGACTCTCTTATTAAAGAAACAGGTGTTTTTAAAATAAAGAGCTAAAATTGATAGCATATGGTTGTTTGGTCAAGATCAGTTCACTTTTTAAGAATTACAAATATGAGTGGGTCAGCTAATGAATTATTAATTCAAGGAACAGTTTTAGAATCAGGTTCAGGGACTGGGGAGATATTACAGCAGGTAAGACACTTGCTTGCCTTGTTTGCAGAGGGCATAATTCAATTTCTGGCACTGACTATAGTTCCCGGAACAATACCCAGAGTGATCATTGAGTGCCAAGCCAGGAGGAACTCAGGCACAGCAGGTGTGGCCCAAAATCTAGAAAATAAGAGCACGGTAGCACTGTCCTCCCGTTGTTCATTGATTTGCTTGAGTGGGCATCAGTGACGTCTCCATTGTGAGACTTGTTGTTACTGTTTTTGGCAAATTGAATATGTCATGGGTAGCTTGCCAGGCTTTGCCAAGCAGGTGGAATATTCTCTGCAGTTTGCCGGGCTCTCCAAGAGGGGCGAAGGAATTGAACCTGAGTCGGCTGTGTGCAAGGCAAACACCCTACCCGCTATGCTATCACTGGCCCAGAAAATAAGAGAAGTGAGAAAAATAAATAAAATACAGCCAAGTTCACGAGATCCAGTATAGGGTCTTAGATGACCAAATTCCTAAGTGGTGAGGAATGATGGGTGTGTCTATATATTTTTTTATTTCTAGTGAGCCTATCCAGGTTTGCAGATTCTTTTCTTTCCTTTCCTTTTCTTTATTTTCATTTATGTGTTTCTAAAATGTCTTGTATGGTAATTCTACTCGAAGCATGGGGGAAATGAATGAACAAAATGATTATTTCTGCTTTCATGGAGGAAAGAAACAGTCATCCAATAACTATAAGCAACAGTGAGTGCATGAAGGCATGAGAAACTATAAAGCATTTCAACTGATCAGACAATGAGAAAATTCTACCATCAACTTCCTTGAGCCTCGTATTTGAGAACAGTTTCGTGACCAGATTAGGAAGGGGGGCTGCATAGAATCAGGAAGAACAGAAAGAATGTTAGAGTATTAGTTAGAAAGAGCATAAAAAATAGATGTTGGCAGACCGGAAGATTCAAGAGACGAGGACACATAAAATTTACATCTGATCTGTCTACAGACTGGATTTGGGAATCAAAGGGAAACAATAGATTACCTCCATGTTTCTGATAAAGATGAAGTCTTTAATGAGAAAAGCAAAAGTGGCCCAGGATACTTTTTGCAGTGCTGTGGTCTGACACAAGTTTGGTGTCATAGAGAAAGAGATAGTTTGAGGAATCATCATACACAAGCTAAAGAGAATTTTATTTAGAAATATTTTGCTTTAAATATTAAATTTAAAATTTAAATATTAAATTCAGTACTTGTTTCCTTATTGATCTATTTTTAAAGATTAATAGTTAAACATCATATCAATATAGGAAGGAATAAGATAATAATTATGAAGAAAATAAGCCATAAAAATAGCTCTGAAGATTGACAATTGAAGTTTTCAACAAAAAGCAAAGTAACCATAAGAAAAGCAGAAATTTCAAGAAATAAACAAACATAATAAGAAAATCCCAAAACCACCAAACGTATTAAGAAACTATATATATATATATATATATATATATATATATATACACATTTTGGGAACACTTTGGAAATAAAATTTTACCTAACAAATTAAAACCAATTATGCTTTTTGAAATGATAAGTTCTTGACTGAGATTGTTTGTCTTATTGGTGGAAAATTCCTCAAAATCTATGTTTGAGTCTCTATCAATCCACTCTAAAAAGAGATATTTTCCTTTGGCCTTTGTAAAATAGCAATGATAGAATAGACATTTTGAAGACAGGCAAACTGATATTTGACTTAAATAAAATGCTGTAACACATATTATCTAGAAAAATGTATTGCTCAACTGAATTATTTAAAAATATACATTACTGGGACTGAAGAGATTGTGCATAGGTAAGGCTCTTTTCTTGCATGCGGACCATTTGGGTTCATTCTCTGACACCTCAAATGGTCCCCTGAGCCCACCAGAAATGATCCCTAAGCACAAAGCCAGGTATAAGCCATGAACACAGCTGGGTGTAGCCAAAAATCAAAGACAAAAAAATATATATACACTATTAAAAGAATTCCCCAAATATTTTAAATACTTAAATCACCCAAACTTAGCAATATAAAGAAATAAAACATTTGTTTGGAAAATGTATTTTGAATTGTACAGTAGAACGTCAACTGAGATAAATGCTCATTGCAGTAAATATTTTAGAAATGTCCAACTTTATAGGAAAATGAATATTAGCCTTCATTTCAATCTAATTATATTAAAATAAGAATAGATTGTATTAATAGGAACCATGTCAGTTAGCAAAGGTTTATATAAATTTGCTGTGCATTCTAAGTACAAATATTATTTAATTGAAGATGTTAATTCCCTTGACATTGTGTACTGTACAAAACACATCATTTTTTAAATAATTTCACTTTCCATTCTTAAGGGTCAAAGGCTGGTTCTGAACATAGACAGATTCCAACTCTAAAAATAGTTTGGAAAAGGCTTTGAACTACCAGTTTTGCCTTTCTGGGAAATGTCTATATCAGCTTACCCAATGTTTTGTGCTTCTCCAAACTTTCCTGTACAGAGACCACTGGCACACCCCATCCTCAACAAGGCTGATCTGCGGTTATTCTCTGTGCATGATTAATAATGCACTCTGATAACCAGTGCCTCTGTGAGCGTGCTTGGAAAAAATCCCACTCCAAACCACACCTAAGGAGAAGTTTCTCAGTTCCACTTGGGAACCTAATGGATTTTATAGATTCTTCAAAGGACTTGAGATGTATCAGAGTTTGGGCTTTCAAAATGAACAAAACAAATGTGAAGTTTGATTTACATGCAACGTTACCAATATTTGTATATCTCAAGTAGATAACTTTTGTCATTTTACAAAGTGAAGGCTATCATTTAAACACACTTTTGGGGCCGGAGCAATAGTACAGCAGATAGGGCGTTTGCCTTGCACACGACCAACCCAGGTTTGATCCAAGGCATCCCATATCGTCCCCCAGAACTGCCAGGAGTAATTCCTGATTGCAGAGCCAGGAGTAAGACATTAGCATCTCCATGTGTGACCCCAAAAAAGCAAAATAAAATACAGTAAAATAAAGACTGTAGCACTGTCCTCCCATTGTTCATCGATTTGCTGGAGCAGACACCAGTAACATCTCACAGCAAATTGTGAAACTTGTTGTTACTGTTCTTGGCATATCAAATACGTCATGGGTAGATGGCCAGGCTTTGCTGTGCAGGCGAGATACTCTCAGTAGCTTGCTGGGCTCTCCGAGAGGGGCGGAAGAATTGAACCAAGGTCGGCGGCATGCAAGGCAAACACCCTACCCGCTGAGCTCTCACCCCTCCCAAAATAAACACACTTTAAACATTTTCCAAAAGAAAATGCTTAACCTAAAGAGATGAACATACATGTATATACAAATATATGAGGTTCCTGGCAATACTAATGTGTGGAGATATGTAAACATGTTTGCATGCACTTTATCCATATACAGACACATATGTATGTATGTACATGCATTCTTTTTTTCATTTGCCTTTGATAGCACTATACAATCAGAGACCGAAAATCATTCATTCTGGTGGTTGTGATCTTATTCCATCAAACCCAAAAGCTGCTGAGAAAGGAAGACAGTTCTCTCAAGAGAACCTAAGAAGCACTGACCCGAACCAAGGACGGTTCAAGGGCCTATAGCTCAGGTCAGTTCTTGGCAACGTTCAGGCCGAGGTACGCACCGTCTTGCTGAGGTAGCCTGTGCTGGTGTTCATGCACTGTAACCCCTCGCTGTTGCAGCAGCCCCCACATCTGTAGACGGACACACATGGAGGTTTAAAGAAGGTGTTTGTGGCTGCTCCAAACTCCTTCCCCACATCTATACACACCTCACGTGGCATGCATTGAGTCTTTCTCCACTCAGTATCAATACCTGTCAAGTCAAGGGAAGCTGCGTAAGTTATAAGAAGGCACGAGAGGGGAAAAGCCACAGCACTAGGAGCCACTCATGTTTGATCTCAGATGTCAGGATTTCAGTACATGACTAACTTGAACTGCAGAACCATACATTGAACAGGGCAGCAAGGAGATTTATCAAACAAGCAAGCAAACAAACAAAAACAAATAAAACACCTCATTTTGACTGCCATAGAAAAACCTGCATTAGAATTCTACTTTTGTCAAATCACACCAATATTCCACCACGGCTCTTATGTTTTGATTTTCTTTACTTAAGAAAATGAAAATAAAACACACAAATGTTTGCAAGACCTGCAAAGTGTGTGTGTGGGGGAGGGGATCATTCTCATTTGCTATTGTATGTGCAATAACTTGCAGTCTCAAAGCAAATATAAACAAATGGCTTGATTTTTCTTTTTAAACTTAGATGTAAATAAGAAGATGGTTATGGTTTTGGATTTAATTTAGGTATCATTTTCAGATCAGGGGTCTGGCATCTTTCAGTAATTTTATGATGTTTGCTCCTTCATAATGCAGGGATATTTTCCACCAATTGGGATTTGTGTCCTAATAAGATTTTTTAGAAAAGTCAAAATTTCCTCTTTCTTCCAATCTCCCTTGAAATTTTGTTTCCAATGAGTTCTTATTTTACACTTTATGTACTCCTAAAATATCATGGTTTATTTCTCCCATATGTGCCCTAAAACAAAAATTTTGGAAGAAAGACACAAATGAATGTTTACTCAATATGAAGTCATTTGGTGAGCTTGAGTTTCAAAATAATTTAAAATTTCAAACATTTCTACTGGTTAATATCCAACAACTGATGGGTGGTTTTCTGTTTTTGTCTTTGTGACACTAGAATCATAAGGAGAACTGGGCACATACAGTCCATGAGAGATTAGAATTCATGAACTCATATGGCAAAGTTGCAAGGTAGGTGCTATAAACAAACACACTAATTCTCTAGGCTAAGGGGCTTTTTTTCTTTTTTAGACAGATGTAAATACTTTCATATATGCATATATAAAAATAAAACCCAATCCATTTTAATGTCTTGACTTCATTTTTGATGAACATCAATACAATATCAGTAAACAGGGAGTTGAAATTAGAAAAATCTTCATTTTACAGATAACTTTTTCACATGGAACAATGGAAGGTAAATGTTAGCAATATTGCTGCAGGACTGGTTCAATTTCTGCGCACAGAACTGAATCTGTAAATAAATGGATGTGTGGATGGTAGGATAAGGCACCTAGCAATGGTGGTTTGGAAATGTAGGTTCTGCAGTGGTGAACATAGAGCAGCAACATTAATATTATTGTAAATCTTGATACTTCAATATTAAAAGCAGTTCACCAATATATGCTGTTTTACATAATAGCATAGCCTTATATGAAGCTTTCTGGTAGGTATCTCAGTAACTTCACAAAAACTCAGCTCTCTGGACTGCAGAGGGAGTAAATTAGGTAAGGCATTTGCCTTGTGCAGTCCACCCGGGTTCAATCCCAAGCGCCCCATGTGGTCACATGAGACCTCAGGAGTGATCAAAACCAAAAAACAATTCAGCACTCAAGTCAATTAACCAAGAATCAGCAAGACACCTAGCAGCATTTAAAATGAAAATTTTACATAATTTACAAGGGTAAGGTAAAAGGTAAGGTAAAGGCCCTCCCGTTGATCATCGATTTGCTCGAGCGGGCCCAGTAACGTCTCTATTGGAGACTTTGTTGTTACTGTGTCTGGCATATCGAATACTCTCGGTAGCTTGCCGGGCTCTCCGAGAGGGGCAGAGGAATCGAACTCGGGTCGGCCATGTTGGCTGCGTGCAAGGCAAACGCCCTACCCGCTGTGCTATCGCTTCTCAATTCCAAACAGAATGTATTATGATTTACAGATGTACAATGATTTCATAATAAAAGAATTCAGCTCAGAAAGCATACACAAGAGATCCATTTATCTAAAGTTTTTGCAAAGGGATGGCCCTGCAATTAAAAAATTAAAAGTAACTAGTATTTGTATGCATGTGGCTTTCTAGGCTTCCTATTTAATAAATCAGCAAAACCACTCAACACAAAATAATAAATATGGTAATTTGAACAAATTTTAAAAATTTTCCATCTTCTGTACTTTCAGGTGTCCTGGGGTACAAAATGCTCCAATCGCTGCATCAGACTTGCAACTTTTACTGAATCATTAGCTGAAGCTGATTACATACTTGAGTTCCCCAACTTACTTTTCAAGATCTCTGCATTATAATGTGCCGCAGCAAATTTTATCGTCTCTTCTGTCCTGGCATTGCCATTGGGCTGTTCTTTATTATGCTGCCAGCCTCCTCTTCTTAACTGACATTTGTACATTTTCCAATATTCTGGGTAGAGCACAGTCATGAGCTCATCTACACTGGACACTGACCGCAACTGCTCCTCCAGATCTTTGCCTGCATAAGCCTGTCAAAGAAACATGCAATTCAATTATTTACCAGTCGAAGGAATTTGGAGACAGATGTGCAAAAAATAAAGTTAAGTTTTATATTATATATGCTCATGCCTATTAAATAATATCAATTATCCATGAATTATGGAACTCTTCTCAGTACATACACTGTTTAATCGCAATTAATACTGTCATTACATTTGAAACGGAATTAAACTAGAATTGACATACATTAAAAATGGAATCTAATTCGATATGACAAAAACAGTAACAACAAGTCTTACAATGGAGACCTTACTGGTGCCAGGTTGAGCAAATTGATAAACAAGGGGAGGACAGTGCTACAGTGTTACTTTAAAAATAGCTGGTTTGGCTTTCTCTGCGCATGTGCCTCAGGTGTCCTCTAGGACCCTTGGACGCTCAGCCTCTTCCTGTTCATCCCCAATGCTGTGGCGGTCTTCTTCCCACCAGGTCAGTTAATCTGTCACTATTCGAACCCAGGACTTGGACTTTCTCCACGCACAAGTCCCAGGATTCCTCTAGGACCCTGAGATGCTCAGCATCCCTGAGCTTCTTCCTGTACATCCCCAACGCTGTGCCAGTCTCTCCTGCCACCCTTAGGTTGTACCCCCACACACACACCAGGTAGTCGTGGGGACGTGGCCTCTTCCAAAGTGGGCGTGGCCTTCTTTTGGGCTGGCCAATGCTCACATGACCGCAGGTAGTGTACTCATACCCAGAAATCTCGTGTAACATATCAGTCCCCATACCTCTACACCAACATGAAGAAACAATGCAAATACCCATCAAGTGGAGTGGACGATGAAAAGAGACCAGAAGCCTCAGTAGGTGCTATTCACCTAAGGGACCACTCTGAGAAAGAATTCAGATAAGAAGTAATGAAGATATTCAATGAACTCAATGAAACAGTGAGACAGATATCCAGTAAATTGAAGGAGGACATGAAAGAAATAATGGATCAATCAAGAAAATTCAGGAAGAAATGAGAGCATAAATTGGAAAGCTACATACAGAAATATCATGAATAAAAGATTCCATAGATAAAATAAAAAACTCAGTAGAATGACCTCAACAATAGAATGACCACAGCTGAAGAGAGAATCAGTGAGCTGGAAGATCAGCTTCACCAAGACAACAGGAAACAACAAACAATGGCAAGAGACCTCAAAATAGCTCTAAAGTACGTAGGAGATGATTTCAAGAGGAACAACATTAGAATCATTGGAGTACCAGAAGGTCAGGGAAAAAATCCCAATGAAAAAGACACAATTAAACAAATCACTTCTGAAAAATTCCCTGAGCTGGGCAATGCAGTCGTTCAGTTTCAAGGAGCCCAAAGGGTGCCAGCTAAAAGAGACCCTAACAAAAACATTCCAAGACATACCATAGTTAGAATGATAGATGTGGCAGATAGAGACACAGTACTGCAAGAAGCAAGGTCAAAGAAGGAAATCACATACAAAGGAGCACCCCTTAGATAAACAGCAGACCTACCAGAGGAAACTCTCCAAGCCTGAAGGCAATGGTGGAATATAATGAAAAAACTTACTGAAATGAATGCTTCATCAAGAATACTCTATCCAGCTAAACTCTCACTCAAACTCAAAGGAATGGTACACTATTTTATAGTTAAACAGCAGCTCAGGAACTTCATAGACTCAAAAACAAATTTAGAAGAAGGGCTAAAGGGGCTACTGTAAGACAAGACAAACCTTATAAGCACAGCAGACCCTTACAGAAAGATGACACAAAACCCCTGAACAATAATCTCTCTCAACATCAACAGTCTAAATTCACCAATTAAGAGACACAGAGTGGCAAAATGGATTCACAGACATAACCCAACATTCTGCTGCTACAAGAAACTCATCTCAACAGTCAGAACAAACACAGACTCAAAGTTAAAGGATGGAAAACAATCCTGCAAGCAAACAGCTGCCTCAAAAAAGCTGGGGTGGGGGCTGGAGCTATAGCACAGCAAGTAGGGCGTTTGCCTTGCACGCAGCCAACATGGCCAACCTGGGTTCGATTCCTAGCATACCATATGGTCCCCCAAGCACCGCTAGGAGTAATTCCTGAGTACATGAGCCAGAAGTAACCCCTGATGTGACCCAAAAAGCAAAAAAAAATGCTGGGGTGGCCATACTAGTACCTGACAACATAAATTTTAGGTTGAAAAAGATTAGAAGGAACAGTGAAGACTATTTTCTATTCATCAAGGGATAAGTACAACAGGAAGAAGTCACACTCTTAAATGTATATGCACCTAATGAGGGCTAAATATTTAAAACAACTGCTAACAGATTTTAAGGAGGACATTGCTAGCAAAACAATAATAGTTGGAGACTTCAAAATCACCTTATCACCTCTGGATAGATCAACAAGAACAAAACTCAGCAAGGAAGTATTGGTTTTGAAGGAAGAAGTAGAAGAGAGAGGGCTTATAGAGTTATAGAGGGCTTTACATGTCAAAAAGAAAGAATACACATTCTTCTCCAGTGCACACAGAACATTGTTCAAAGTAGACCATGTGCTAGGACACAAAACATACTCAATAGAATCAGGAAGGCAGAAATAGTATCAACAATCTTTTCAGACCATGATGCACTGAGAATAGAAGTGAATCACACACAGACATGAGAACCAAATAAAACACCTGGGAATTAAACAACTCAATGTTGAACAATGAGTGGGTCAGGAAGGAAGTCAAGGACGAAATCAAAAGATACCTGGAAACAAATGAGAATGAAGACACAAGCTACCAGAACCTATAAGATGCAGTAAAGTCATGTTAAGGAGAAAATTTATAGCCCTGCAAGAATTTCTTAGGAAGAAATAAAGCTGGTTTTTCAAGAAAATAAACAAGATATATAAACCACTAGCAAGACTCACAAACAAAAAGAGAGAACCCTAATAAACTGAATCAGAAAGAAGGGGGATATAACAACAGAAACTAAACAAATACAAAAGATCATCAGAGACTACTTTGAAAGTCTGTATGCCATGAAACAAGAGAACCTAGAAGAAATGGATAAATTCCTGTATTCCCATAATCGCCCAAGGTTGATTCAAGAAGATCTAGAGTACCTGAATAGACCTATTAACATCAAGGAAATTGAAACTGTAATCCAAAGTCTTCCCAAAAACAAAAGCCCAGGTCCAGATGGATTCACTAGTGAATTTTTCCAAACATTTAAAGAGGATCTATTACCAGCTCTTCTCAAGATTTTCCAGGAAACTGAAGAAACAGAAACTCTACCAAAAACTTTCTTTGAAGCCTGTAGATCTCTAATACCAAAAGGAAACAAAGACACCACAAGAAAAGAAAACTACAGGCCGATATCCTTGATGAACATGCATGTGAAGATTCTCAACAAAATACTAGAAAATAGAATTCAACAACTCATCAAAAAGATCATATACCATGACCAAGTGGGATTCATCCTGGGGATGCAAGGATGGTTTAACATTCAGAAACCAATAACATAATCCATCATATTAATAAGAGATAAAACCATATGATCATATCAATAGATGCACAGAAAGCATTTGACAAGATCCAGCACCCGTTTATGATAAAAACCCTCACAAAAATGGATATAGAGGGGACTTTCTTCAATATAGTTAAAGTCATCTACCACAAGCCTACAGCAAGCATCATCCTCAATGGGGAAAAACAGAGACTTCCCTGTAAGATCAGGGACGAGACAAGGATGCCCACTCTCTCCACTGCTGTTCAATGTAGTATTGGAAGTGCTTGCAATAGCCATTAGGCAAGAAAAAATATTAAGGGAATTCAGGTAAGAAAGGAAGCAATCAAGCTCTCACTATTTGCACATGATATGATACTATACTTAGAGAACCTTAAAACCTCTACCAAAAAACTCCCAGAAACAATAGACTTGTATAGTAAAGTTGCAGGCTATAAAATCAATATACATAAGTCCATGGCTTTCCTAAACGCAAATAGTGAGAGAGAAGAAAGTGACGTGAAAAAAGAAAACAATCCCATTCACAATTGTGCCCCAGAAAATCAAGTACCTAGGAATCAGCTTAAGTAAGGAAGTAAAGGACCTGTACAAAGAAAACTACAAAACGCTACTTCAGGAAATAAAAGAGGACACGAGAATATGGAAAGATATCTCCTGCTCATTGATCAGAAGAATTAACATTGTCAAAATGGCAATACTTCCCAAAGCATTGTACAAATTCAATGTGATCCCTATAATGATACCCATGACATTCTTCAAAGAAATGGAGCAAAAACTCCTGAAATTCATATGGAACAATAAGCCCCCACGAATAGCTAAAGCAACTCTTGGTAAAAAGAAAATGGGAGGAATCAACCTCCCTAACTTCAAACTCTACTACAAAGCAGTAATGATTAAAACAGTGTGGTACTGGAACAAAGGCGGAGCTGCAGACCAATGGAACAGGGTTGAACACACTGACATCTCCCCCCAAACATATGATCATGTAATCTTTGATAAGGGAACAAGAAATCTGAAGTGGAGCAAGGAAAGCCTCTTTAACAAATTTTGCTGGCAAAACTGGACGGCTACATGCAAAAAAAAAATGGGCTCAGATCTCTGCCTAACACCATGTACAAAAGTAAGATCAAAATGGATTAAAGACTTCAACATCATACCGGAGTCCATCAGGTACATTGAAGACAAAGTTGGCAAAACCGTTCACGACATTGAAGCAAATGGTATCTTCAGAGATATGACGCCACTGGCCAAGCAAGTGAAAACAGAGATAGACAAATGGGACTATCTTAAACTAAGAAGCTTCTGCACCTCCAAAGAAACAGTGATCAAATTACAAAGACAGTCTACAGAATGGGAAAGGATATTCCCCCAAAACACATCCAACAAAGGGTTGATATCAAGAAAGTACAAAGTACTGGTTGAACTCCACAAGAAGAAAACATACAACCCCATCAAAAATTGGTGCAATGGAATGAACAGAAACTTTCTCAAAGAAGAAATCC